ACCGAGAATGTATATTAAACCATGTTTTGAAATCATCACCTAGTATTAAAAAAAATAAGAAATCTAAAAATGGTACCGATTTAGAGATTTTAGGATAAGGAGATGATTATACTTTTGTGAAGATATCAATTACCTAAAAGCACACTTCTCGAAGAAAGACACATTGTCTAGTCTAATCCTAAAAGTTTATCTTCTAAAAATTTTAATTTTTTCCAAGTTAATTCTCAAGTAAAAATTCTAAGTATATTACTTAAGTCAAATTAATTTTTTTAAAAAATTTTTTATGACATCATATTGAATAGATCGTCGACTCCTTTCGTTAGGAGTTTTGTCAATTTAAAATCAGATCCAATTTAAGTCTTGACATAACTAGTATGTCAGAGAATGACCTAATTACTAAGGTGATTAATTTAAATTAATTAATAACGAGTCATCTCTAATTGATAGGAGACTCGTTAAATTTATTTAAAACTCTTTTGTTTGTTTGTTTTGTGTTCTTTTCCTTCATTAAACTAAAAGTATTTTATTTTAAGACATATGAGAAAATCATTATCAAATTTATTATTTAAATTATTTATCCATTTCTTTTATTTGTGAAATCATATTAAATTAATGTTGGGCCTTAAAATTTAGAAATTTTATCAATTTAGCATTGGATCCGAATTAAGGTCTTGACACGATTGGCATATCGATGAGTAACCTAGTTAACTAAAAGTGTTTATGCAAAATATTGAACAAAATTTGTCCGACTTAACTCCTTATTGTTATTTTTTTTAGCATTTTCATTGTTGGATAAAATGTATATCAAAACCAATTGTTTGTACCTAATAAATAAGAGATTCATTGGTCCGACATGACGATCGAATTGAACCATAGATTAAAATAAATTTCACAACATAAATATTTTTAGGTTTTCTAACATAAATAAGATTAATATTATTACAAAACCACATCATGGAATAATTAAAATTTTTTTTAAAAAAAAACCAAGGTAGTTACTAGAAAATCACTAAGGATACCCTTTGGAATGCCAATGGAAATAACCAAAATGCCTCTGCTACTAGTAATGACAAACCGCCCCCATCGTTGAAAAATTATGAAAGTACCCTTGCTAATGGAAATGATGAAACAACCCCTCTTATTGGAAATGATGAAATTACCCCTCTTATAAGAAATAATGAAACTATCATCCTTTCGAAAGAAAAGATAAAATTTCCTCTTTGTGGTAGGATGAGACAAATTGCCCTTTTGAGGAGCTAGGAAATATTAAGATCGAGCCTAAAAAGTGTACAGGTGACCCACACACATATAAGACTTCAAGGTAGTTTCAATAACATCGGACACTAGCTCCCTTTACCGATAACAAAACATATCGATCCCGCACTCCCTAACACATTCATAGATCTATTTCTTCTTTAATCAAGACTCTAAGATCAATTTTTAAATTCTTCAAGAAATTGAATAGTACTTCAATAAGGTCAACCTCAAATTCCGTCACCTTTTTCATTTGAACCAACATTTTACCAATTGATTATGACGTTATTGATGCACATATTGGCATCAAATTTTTAAGCATTCCATTGGTACTTCAAAGATCCATGGAAGTCAGTAGGACATTGCCAAGAATCATCATGAATAACCTTGTTTGATGCTTTTTGTAGTTGTTGTTTGTTGTCTAAAATTTTAGTAGAGAAAGGTGTCCAAATAGTGGCCTTTTGCGGGTGTGAAAGAAATAATAAGGGTTTAACGACTTTTAGAGGTGGAATTGTTGTTATCAAATATGGTTGTTTGGATGGGTTTTGGATAGGGTAAAAGAGGAGGTTGGTTATGGTATCGGTTAAGAAAGATGGGAACGGTTCTTAAACTCGTCCACTAAGTTTTTAACAAAAATCTTCTAGGATCTCCATTTTGAGTGTCTCCCAATTATTCAATTTATTGCCTTTCAATCTTTAGATTTTGATTAATGGGTCTGAAGATGGCTTAAATAATAGTAGGAGGGTTCTACTAGTTTAAGAGCTTCGGAAAGGATTATGCATCCTATAGAGGTACGGAATAAAACAAAATTTGTCCTCCATCAAAGGCTCTCAAGATTAAGTTGTTAAATCAACTAATCATACATAAATAAATGAAAGCATGAGTAAAGGATTACCTCTTCTAGTGTAGATTTAGCTATTGTAGAAAAGAGCCATGCAAGTGTTTGACCTCTATTGATAATCCATGCAGTCCAAGCACCCACATAAGAAGTAATCGAAGTTGTTGAGTGCTAGCTTCACCTTTTTTTGACTTGTTTAATTTTTTTCTCTATAAATCTATTTTGGGATATTTTGCAACAATCCTAAAAGAGAGGGAGAGAGTTGGCATGATTTTTAGGGATAGAAAACTATTTTATCTCTTTATTTCTTTATGACACGTGTCTTTAATGCCTTAGCCCTCTTTTTGTCGCACCTCTCCCTTATATTAATAGGGGAAGTGGATCTTAGTCTCTAAGGACTAGGAGTTACAATGGATATGGGCTTTTTGATCTTATCCTTATAAAACCTAATTCTTATCCAATAAGGCTCAAGTTTATCCTTCCATCAAAATATCTTATAGGCTTTTCAATTAAATCTATTGGTCAAAACTCTTTTGGTCTAATTAATTACCAATTAATTTGGACTATCCAAATAAATTGAGTTAGATATTTTAGAAAGCTTATATTAGAAAATAATTTCTCAAATTACCTTCACACCTTAATTAGGAAACTAATTTCCTTTTGGGTAACTTACTCCAAATTTGAAACCGACTTCCAAATTAAAAAAATGATTTCTAAAATAAAATTTTTTTCCATTTTAGGAAAATTTTTCCAAAACAAGAAACTTTCTATTTTTAAAAACTTTTTTCCAAAATAGGAAATTTTAAAAACTTGAAAACCTTTCTAAAATATTTGCTTCTCTTTTATTATGTAAATGCTTAAACTTATATAGTGACCTAGTAGACTCCTAATATGTTGAGAATGTATCAAGAATAAAAGACGCCTCTTTTATATCTTGATACATAAATCAAGATTGATCTCTTACGAGTGTATCATGACTATCCAATTCTCTAGAAGGATTAATTAATCTATAATTATCTTTCATGAGCATGTTACCATACAATTCAATTCTCATGTTAATTTTATCATAGTGTGATCTCGAACTTGGTTTTTAGTCCGTTCGATTATGATCATACAAGTTTTTTTTTATTCCTAAATGTTTTAGCTCTAAAGTAAACTAATTATGCTCCATTGTTGTACTCCTAATGTGGTCACAGATTTCTTTGAATAGACATTTGTCGAAGTGCAATGTGATAACTCCTTTAGTATACAAGGAATAACATATCCTAACTTAGTCATCAACTTATCTTTATTAGATTCTTAGTGTACCCAACGAGTCATCCACTTGTAACTCTTTATCGAGTTCATCAAAATAATTGTCAAAGTATATAAATATTCTAATGAAATAATCATGATGACTTCAAATCAAAAGACCAATTGTACCAATCTCGTATGAGATTCCCATAGACTAAACCAAATGAGTTCTCATGACGAGTTAAGTCCAAGTGATATGTTCTCTAACAGTAATCACCTAAGTGCCTACTTTGGCATCATCATGTCAATAGGTATGAGATCTCCTACTGCTATTTTAAAGCATCAATATAGCACTCACAACTCTTACCACATATATCAATGTTCATTCTAGATAATGTTACGACTTAGGATATTTAATGATATCATTTAAGTATATTAATGTTTGTCTCATATCTTCGATCAATCATTAATGCAATTCATATTATATGGAATTTTATATAATTATATTCATAAATATAAACCATAAAAATTCATAACAAGACTTCTTTTATTAATAAAATGAAGAATGCAATATTATAATAAGTCAAATTTATTCAAATATGGTTGGATCTTGGACACCTACACTAACACTTCATTGGATGAACTAGAGGTTATATTTGGTTTGGTTTGAGGGCTTTGTATGGGTAATTACAACTAGAGAGGGTGAGGAGCTTCGATTGGAGAGGAGAAGTCCGTGTTAGTCAATAATTATGCTTGACGTAAGAGATGATGGCTATGGCGGGTTTGTAGTATCGGAGATGAGAATAGTGGGGTTGATAGGTGGGTAAGAGGGGTCCGGGTTATATTCGACTAGGGTGAGGATGAAAATATTGGTCAATGAGCTCAAATCTCACTCTAAAAATAAAATAAAAAAGGATAGAGAAAAATAACACCAAGAGTTGTTGCATAAAAAACCTTTTTAAAATTTAGGAGTAAAAACTAGGGGACCAAATCAAGTATATCTTCCACTATGTAATAATGGGTAGTACAAATAGAGTCTCTCTAGTACAACTAGAAGCTTACAATGAACATCAAAATTTGGACATAATATTGTCACAAATTTTGGCATAATAATTTTCTCTATCTCATCCACTCTCTCTTTTTCTTAATTTATCTCTTTTTCTATCTTGTAAAAAATGAATTCAAAACAAGCCTATTTATAGGTCGTTCTTGGACTATGAATGTCAACAAATGCATCATCACCTCAACCTTTTCCTTTTTCAACAAATTTTGCATCTCTCGCATGTATTTTCTTTAACAAAAACAACTCTACATGCTCGCATGCAGTCTTCAAAAATTACAATTTTGACATTCAATAATTGTTGCTCCTTCCACAATTGTTGCTTCTTTACATAGGCTATATGCAATGTTTCTTTAACAATTAATGCACCTTTTAATTTTGATTCAAAGGTGGCGAGTCCAACATGGGTGAGACCCATTCGAAGATAGTAAATGCTTAATAGTAGTAGTGAGGATTTGGCGGTAGTGAGCTTGTTTTGGGAAAGAAAATTACTCGTTAGCACTAAACTAACTATAGCTAATAGTTTTTTTGGCAATGGAGAAGAGGAAGAAGAAAAAGTAGGTCGTGGTTGAGGTCTTAGGAAGATGGAGTTGCTTTTAAGTGTTAAGTTGAGAAATGAGAGATTCTTGGATTTTGGTGGAGGATGTACGAGAGGCTTGGGGTCGTTATTGCGAGTGGCATTCTAAGAGTGAAGAAGATATGGGTTATGGGATTAAAGGAGTAACGTGGCTATGAATTCATGGTGAGGGTCTATGGTGGTTGGATGCTTGATGGAGATGGTTTTTCGGGTGTGGGTGATACGAGAAGCTTGGGTGGATGAGGATCCGACTAGTCCAGGTTGAGGGTGGTTATGCTTGTGGTGACCGGTTCACTAAGAGTGGGAGTTTGGTTAGTGTCTCACAACTAAAGAAGGTTGAGGTGGCTGTGTGATATGGCATATGGAGGCTAGTGTGGGAAGATGGAGGTTAATTTGGAAGAGCTATGACATTCATTTTTAGCAATGAAGGTGGTTACCAAGGTTTTATGTTTTAAGAGAAGAGATAGCGATTGCTATGGTTTTTATTGCTCCCTATATTTTCTTACTGGAGTTTTTCCATGGGTAGGTTAATAATTGTGGCCCTAAAAAAATGAGGTGAAAGTGTGTTTATATATGAATTTTTTAGGGTTTGGGATAATAACAACATTTATCCTTCTTTGGTTTTTTTTTTTTTTTGTTTTTGTTTTTTTGTCAATTTCAATATACAATGCATTATTTTTCTCTAATTAGCTCCTTAATTGAAATTGTTTAATCCATATTCTATTGGTTTCTTTCAATTTCACACTCGATTAATTCCAATCAAAGCCTTTGATTTTTTTTTTTATCCCTTTCCAATTACATTCTTAATTAAATGCCACTTAATCCTTAGTTTTCATATCATTTTCAATTGGATCCCAAATCATCTTCCCAATCTTTTTCCTTTTTTTATTTTTTATTTTTTTACTATGTATTTTTTTCTCTTTTTTAAAAATAAAAGATAATTTATAAAATTAAACTTAAAGTTAATAAAGGTAAAAATAGATCAAAATAAAAAATAAGAATAAAGTAACATAAAAAGAAATAAATATAAATATAAAACAAATAAATAAAATAAAAATACTAAAAAATAACGGAAAATAAATACAACCCAAAATTTGGGTTATGACACTCTACATAGCGTTTTATGCCAAAAAAAATCATCACATATTCTTAATAGGTGTGTGCCATAAGGTTTTTAAGATCCGTTAGTATGCCGATCGTATGACTTATGAACTAGTATGAATATAATATGAGGTTTCTTAGTAGCATTATGCTTTTGAGAGTCTCGAAATGATGGTGTTCATGTAACCATCATGTGCAAGCTGAGAGATATTGAAATATGGGTCTAAGTTAACCTAATTCAATCTACTCATAATGGACCACTTTGAACCGAGTACATTAATAGGATCCGGTATATATTTCTAGAAACATATGTGAGTTATTTGTTGATAAACTCAAATTTAATTTTTAAAATTATATTTGAGTTATCCGTAGAGAGTTCAAACTTTCTATCGGATAAATATATATCTTTTATAAATATATCGCTTGTACGTATAATCTATAATGCAAAATAGAAACTTAAACTCTCTCGCTCATGTGATGATCTTCTCCCGACTCCTCTCTCAAAAACTTCGAATCATATTAGTGCGACTTGTCCAATAAACTATGAGATCATTGGTGCGATCAGTATATGATTGTATCATCCGTCCAATATACCAACCAATCCACTAGTCAAATTCCTCGTACATAGTTGTATACTCTATCATGAGCCTAAACTAATTATTTAGGAGATCTAACAAAATAATGTGATTTAAACTGGAATAATAAGTTGACAGGTTTTTATTAAACATGAGATTACTCTCTCTTAACAATTTGGAGGGGATTTGGAAAGAAAATGACAATATCTTTCCATACATACGTGTTATTAAAAAATCAATGGTTATGTATAAGAAGTCAACAAATTTTCACTTCCATAACAATAATATTGCTATACATAAAGTGGAGGAAACGATCCTGATTCGGTATGCCCATATTAGTTATCACTCCGCCTTTTCCATGATTACAATTCAGACACCTCGTTGTTCACCATCTGAGCTTTTCCTGGAAATACTGCAGTGGAATAATTGCAATTTATAAGATTAACGATACCAGAAGGAAAAAAGAAAAAGTAAGAAATTTAGCAAACTAGCTTGGAAAAAAATACTCACCTTCTTGATCAGGGATTGATAGTATGGCTTGACTTCATCAACATCAACAAGAACTTTGCTCTTGCTGTAAAGGTCATATTTGCTGCAAACCATTTACAATTTACAAAAATTAAGGTTGGCTACTGCTATCGAATATATTGAAAGGAAACAAATGAGAAAGTAAAAGAGAGATGGATCAAAGCATACTTGAATATGTGGAGCCACTTCAAATCCTCCTCATCTTCCTTGCTCATCAAATGCTTATATGCTCCTCCCTTATGTAAGGCTGCATCGTGCAAGAAATCTTTATGTGAATTGGATTGATCAGATCAGTATTTACAATTGGATGCTTGAAAAATAAACAATGAACTTACGATAGAGGGAGTGGTATCGGATAACGAACAATGCAGCATGTGGTAAAGTGGTTCCATTTTCCTTAGCCACCTGATTAATTAAATATTTGCAATTAAAAACACAGGCCATTAATTGATTGAAAACATATATATGAGATAGCCTGAAACATCATGTTAGATATATTTATACCAAATCAGAGGTGAGTGGAATTAGTTTTGGAGACTCAAAGAAACGCACAAATATCCCACCAATATATATATATTCGAAAAAATATCTATTAATTTTGAAATTCTAACCACCCAGCAACTCAGTAAAGTGAAATCATAAGTATTGAAATTCAAATTAATAGTTTGATTTACTTAAAATGATTGATCATGATATCCTAACTTTAAAAAGCCATAATATTTAAGTTTTCGTAGAAGTTTAGAATGGAAAAATACATACCAAGTACATATAGTCATCGTGCCCCCATGATATCACCACATTGTCCAACCCGCATCCCTCCTCGTAAATTCCATTCTTTGTGCTATAGGCAGGATTCTTGAAATCAGGGTTATCGGTGAAATACTGCACCAAAAAAACTAAACTGTTATTTTTTTTCCTTGTAATGCTTGACTGTTTATGGTTACGACGACTAAGCTATGTGTGTGCGTGCATATATATATATATATATATATATATGATAAGATTTTCTGAAACATTTAGAACAAACTAAGGACCTTGTGATGAACGTTGGCTTCGTCAAAGGCACAACCAAGAGGGAACGTATCTCCTGAAACATAAAGTGGTTTTATTTTAATTAAAAACAAGACCAGTTAATCCAAATCAATATATATAGGACCAAAACACATTACTCACCAACAACAGCCCATTGTGGAAGCTGTCCAAACTGAGGAAGAAGAAGAACTTTTCCAAGATCTGAGACGAACCCAAGAAAGAATGTAATTAAATTTATGTATTCGTTTAAGCAAGTTTGTAGGTGTAGGTCATCCTAACTTAAAGATCTAAAATCACTTTGATTAACACAAACTATATATATATATATATATATATATATATATGCATGCAGGTACCATGAATAAGAGCAGTCAAGTGCAACCAATCCTCATTGGGGTAGTCTTTCCTAATGGCTTCAGCTGATTGCAACAAGTGTTGAATTTGAGGCTCATCTAGATCAGGATCACTATCATCTACCACATCATTCAGGAGCTCACAACATTCCCAAATGCTCATAACAGCCTTGTCAAGCTTCCCATATTCTTCTCGCATCTTCTTCACCTGGATTAATTATTTTAATTATATATGAGACATAACATGTTATATATATACACACACTACATATTTTTCAAATTTTTCTTACAAAATCATATGTTTGGTTAATGTGTTGCTGTCTGTAGAATTCCTCCACCGACTTTTGCCTTTCACTTTCTGCATTATAATCCCTGCAGTATATATATTACCACCATTAATTCCATATACATACATATATATATATATAAACAAATTTTTTTTTTTTTTGAAAATTATATTGGATAATCTTTTTAAAATGGACTTTAATTAAGATTATTTAAAAAATATATAAAATTTAATATTTTGATCATACAAAATTTTACATTAAATATGAATAAAAAGATAAATAATTTCTTTCGAATGAAAAGAGAAAACAATTAGAGAAAAAGAAGGAAACAAGTACAACCTGAATGTGTTGCCAAATGCATTGATATCTGGTGCATCGAACCCTTCGTTTTTATCTGGCACCACGAATCCACCATCTAATACCAACTCTTTGGCATCGTAATTGTCTTTATGGCCCTCTGCTTGTGATCCTAATTACACCATAAAAATATAAAGCAAATATCAAGCATGGCTAAATTAATTAATTAGCGTAATTAAAAATGCATGCATGCAGGTTTATAAATTGTATATAATTAAGAAAGACAGAGAAAGAATTGATTGATACCAATTAGCTGATGAGGCTGGTTGACGAGGATCGTCATGATGCTTCCTCCAAATGCTTAGCAAAGAACTAAAAGGAAAGGCCAAAAAATACGGAATGGAAATGAAAGGGAAGCCTGAACTCGTCGATGAATGGTGACAGGTGAGTTGGTGACTATCGTTGAAGGGGCATTTATAGGACCACAAAAAGTCCTTGCCTGCGATTTAGACGATTTCGAGTCCTTGACAGAAAATCCAACCGACCTCAATCTTTTTTTTTTTTTTTTTTTCCTAACGAAGGAATCGGTCCATGGTTGTTCAAATGTATGACAAGAATAAATTTCACAACCTGCAGGCGCATGTGTAATGCACCTTCCAATGCCAAAGAGTATTGCAAATTCCCAAAACAAGAATTTTACTTTTTATTTACTAGACATGGTAAAATTAGAGAGCTTACTAAACTAAGTTTTCTAAAAGTTTTAAAGTTTCCTTAGTTTTTTCTCAACTTTGCATTTTTGCAATAAAGGATAAGAGTTTGTAGTAAATCCAACAAGGGCTCAAAACCTAAAACTATAAAAATAGCAGCAATATTGTAGCTGATCCCTGACTCAGCTTTGCGTGGACATCCTATCTCATTTGGCTACACACAGCTTGGTTTTAGGCCCTAATGACGAAGCATCTGGTCATGCCAGCACAAGCACCGTTGACTTTAATTCCCCATTTTTTTAAAAAAATTGTTACGTTACATGTTGCTTGAAATCAACGGCTGAGCTGTGAGCAACCCAGATCGAAGCAACCCCTAAGCGTACCGCATGACTGGGAAGGAAAAGGAATAAACGGTCTATTTTTGCCACGTCGTCAAATCAAAATATGTTTTAATTAAGATATAAAGCACTAGTAAGCAGTAACTGTTTCATTGGCTGGAAATAGCACTAATTAGATTTGAAAATGAAAAAAAAAATATTGTGATTGATCCTATCATAATTAGTATCGCAATCTTTTTCAAGATAAATTACTTTTTAGACATCAAAAATTTATTTATAACTATAAATAAAATATAAATAACATGAAATCTATTTATACTTTCATATATTTTTATATATAATTTATTATATTGATTTTTTACCATTGATTTTTATTCACTTTTACATTAAAATTTTTGCATAACATATAAATAAAATTAACATATCCTTCATATTTAAAACTTTTTGAAATTAATTTATTCCTTTATCTATATTTATCATGGCGTACTCTTATTCCATATCCGTGTTCAAGTTTCATAGTCGAGAAGAAATCAAATGACTCTAGTTTATGTATCAATAGTATAATGAGCGACAAGTTGCTCATACACTTTTTTTTTTTAATTCATATACTAGATTTCTTAATGGCGGCTTCATATGATTAGCGGTTTCCATTTTCTATTTTATCTTAAAATATTTGAGCCATGAGATCACGTTCGTCATTAGTTTGAATATCTAATTAAACTCTCATTTTCCTTCTTCTTCTTCTTCCATTTTCTTCTTCTTCTAGCTTCTCATCTCCAGTCGTTGGCTCTTCCCCCATCCAAAATCATTGAAAAACTACCTTCCTCCTCATCAATTCCCTTCCACTCTAAACTCTTTTGTCCCTAAAAACCCTTGTTTTCCTTCCTTCTTCTCCTTCTTTTCAAGTCTGAATTAGGTAAGTTCTCTCTCTCTTTCTCTTATTCCTTAAATGTTAGTTATTTTCATAATTATTAGGTCAATTTTAAATTTAGTTGGTTGATTTATAATTTTGTATAGTTTTAATCATTAATTTATTGATTAATTTAATAAATTATTATTTTTTGTTAATTGTTAGATTAATTTGTTAATTAATTATTAGTTTGATTTAGGTTTAATTAATTAATTAGGTTATTTTGATTAATTGGTTGATTTGATTTACGTTTAATCAATTAATTAGGTTAACTTTGATTAAATTTTAATTTGTTGATTAATTTATTAATTTTTTATTTTTTTAATTTTTAGGTTAATTTGTTAACTAATTGTTAGTTTGATTTAGTTTTAATTAATTAATTAGGTTAATTTTGATTAATTGGTTGATTTTTAATTTTATTTGTAATGAAAATTATTAATTAATTGTTAGTTAAATTTAATTAGATTTGAATTACGACACATTTGATTGAGGTTTAAATTTAATTAGGTTTGAATTAGAATTAATTAGTTTAATTTGATTTAGTTTTAATTAATTAGATTAGATTAGAATAGATTTAATTGATAGCTTTTTAATTTTATTTATATTAGAAATTATTAATTAATTGTTAGTTAAATTTAATTAGGTTTGCATTAGGTTTAAATTAATTAGGTTTGAATTTAACTAATTTGGTTAATTTGATTTATATTTAATTAATTAATTAGGTTAAATTTGGTTAATTGATTGACTTTCAATATTATTTATATTGAAAATTGTAACACCTCCAACCTTAGACCTAAAATAGCTTAAGAATATTAATGATAATGTAATACCCCAACTTTGTGAATAAATAAAATAATATATTTTAAATGTATATGAAAATTATTTTTGTGTCCATAAAATAATTAATACGAGGGTTGCTAGAATATTTCATGTACTTATGTTAATTTTTCTCTGTTTGGTGAATATTTTATTGGCTTCTCTATACGTGAGTATTGTCTTTTATGCAAAATGAATATTTTGAGTGCCTAAATAAATGCATAAAAACTATGTGATTGATGAATAAATTAATATAGAAAGTGCATGAATTTATTATAAAAATAAATTATTTTTTCTGAAGAGTGAAGAATTAATTATGCACATAGGGATTTAATTGCATAATAATTAAGGACTTAATTGCACAAAATTAAAAATTTTGGCCTTTAAATAAATTTGAAAATAAATTTTAAGGGGGCATTAAACATTTGAAAAGCCTAAAAATAGACCAAAATAGTCATTTAAAATTTTGAAGGACTAAAATGTAGGGACTAAAATAAAATAATGTGACAAATTGAGGGAACAAAATAAAAAATTTTAACCAAGATTTTCTTACCTAATTGGCCACTTAATCTCTTGTTTAATGAATGTAATTATACAATTTAACAAAAGTCTCATCTTTACACATAATGGATAGTTAGGATTAAAAGAAAACTAAATGATGGAGATGAAAACAAATGAAGGGCTAGATGTGATTCAACTAAAGAAAAAGTCCACTCTTTTGCCTATAAATTTAGCTTATATGAGGAGGAAAAAAAATGGAGGAAAAATGAAAAAAAGAAGAAGCCAAAATCTTGCCAAAAAACTTACTAAAATCATTAAAAAACTATTAAACCAAGCCATTAAACACATCCTAAATCACTCTATCAAGCTTGGAATCATAATTGGAGGATTACAAATAATAAGGAGAAAATTTGGAGAAGAGGCTAAAATTTTGAAGAGGAAGGAAGGAAGGAAGAAAATCTAGCAAAATTCAACTTGGAAGGACTTAAATTTGAGCATTCACTATAAGAAATTTGGCAATTTGCGACGGATTTTGGTGACGGATACTATTCCGTCTCTAATTAGCAACAAATTAACAACGGATTAGTGACCAACGAGAAAAAGTTCATGTTTGTGATCGATTAGCGATGGACTAGTGAGGAAAAATTAGCGATGAAATTAATTTCGTCATAAAATAACGCGACAAAAAAATGCCACATTCAACGATGGATTAGCAATGGATTTCTATCACTAAATTAGCTATGGCTTATGATGCATCACTATCAGACATTAAATAATGACGAAAGGATCCGTCGCTATAATAAGAAGATGGTTAGAGGCATAAAATAGCGATGGATTATCATCCGTCGTCAATTTGGCTAGAAAATAGCGATGGAATGTTCAATTCGTTGCAATTTTTGGGGCTTTGGGGGAAAATCCCTACCCAAAGCACTAAATTAGTGACAGATTGAGGAATCGTTGCTAATTTGGCTAGCCGATTAGTGAGCATTCCTAATCCGTTGCTGATTTAGTGTTTGGGCGGGAATTTTCCCCTTAAAATGGCCCAAAGTAACGATGGATTCGTGTTCATTGCTAATTATCCTTTAAATCCCCCTTTCTTCCTCCCCCATTCGACCCCCTCTCCTCCACCAAAAATCAAAATGAAGTGCATCTTTCTAGTTCAAAATCAGACTAGGTATGTGCTCTCTCTCTTCTTGATCTCTCGAGTAAAACTTTCTCTCTCTAACTCTTATGTTTTTTAAATTAAGTAAATATTATAAATTTTTAGATTATTTTTTGTTATTTTTTAGTTGATTAATTATTTGAATGTTGTTAATTCTGTTGTTATGTTAATTTTTAATAATGTTAAGTTGTATGTTAATTATTAGTATAAAATTCTTAATTGTTTATTTAATTTTCTTAACTATTAGATTAATTTTGTTAAGTGTAATTTTTTAGTTACGTTAATTTTTTTGGTTAATTTTTATGTTAATGTAAAACTAAAAAATTTTAATTATGTTAATTTTTTAGGTTTAATTTTATTAATGTAATTTTTGATGTAATTTAGTTAAGGTTGATTTATTATTAATTTATTAATTTTTAGGTTAAAATTTAATTATTTAATCTTTAATATTTAAATTTTGTTAATTAATTAATTAATTATTTGTGTTAATTATTAGGTGAATTTGGTTAGTTGTTTGTTTTAACTTCATTTTTAAATTATAAATATTTTTACGTACTTTAGTTAAATTTTGTTGATTATTTTTAAGATTTTTTTAATTTGTTGGTTGGTTAATTTTTTAATTAATTTATTTTTAGTTTGTAATATTGTGTTTTGTTTGAATTAATTACTAGCTTAATTAGTTTAAATTAATTTAGTGTAATTGGTTTGATTTGTCATTATTTTGAATATAAATTATAAAAGTAATTGTTATAGTTTAATTATTAAAATTGAAAGAAGATAGCATGCATAATGATTTAATCGTTTGGAAATTTTTTTAAAAAAGAATAAAAATGTAATTGGAAAATAAACATAAGCGTTAAAATTTAATAAACATTTTATTAATTAATAGAGTGTAATAAACATTTTATT